TGTCTAGTGTCATTTGTGAGATTCGCACGTGTGAGAAAAGACCAGTTTGGGACGCCCAGAAAATTCGATGCCAGGCCTAAGCAATCGAAGATGAGAGTCTTGCTTAACTCCCATTTTGAAGAGGACTCCATTCTGTTTTTTTACTGATAATAGTACATTAGTTTTGGTATAGGACGCTCAACACATGTCTTTAGTAATACGAAATATGTTTGAAAAATCTTTTCTTTGATATAGAGCGGAATTATGGCCGACAAATTGAATAGCTAACGGTTACGCATAAGTTTTGCAACAAATGTCGAGCGCTGTTTCTCTATGCTCCTACTATTCTGGAGACGTCACTTTCTTTTTGTTTGAAAGAACAAAGTCTGAATTACAAAACGCGATCAAATAAATTTTCTCTCACCAGACTCCATTGAGAAACAATTCGAAAACTATACATTACTAGAAATATTCTAGTTGAATTGTACTAAAACGTATCAAGAAAAGCTTTTCACTGTTGTCCAAAATAATCACTTTTTGCTGGAACCAAGTACACGAATAAATAGCCCGTGAATAGTTCTAGCAAGTTTCAAGTTATCCTTTTGTGGTTTTCTGAAACGCATTCTAAAGTCAGATTTTGCGTCTAACAATTAGGACTTTCAGTAAAAGCATCATATTAAATACGAAGTGAATGAAATTAGATTTTGTTTTACATCAGATTGTAGAAAATTGAATGAGGATCATTTTACAGTTTAAAAAGTGGAAAAAAGTTCATCTGTTAATTCAAGAATTGGCAATTAACTGATTTTCTAACAGGGCTCATATAAACGATTATTTCTTCACGGAAACTAAATAAAAAGGAAATGTATTGTACACCATTCGGAAGAGCGTTTCAACCACTCTCAGATGTAATAATCAGTTACCTTTCAAGCTTATCGTTAAACGAGAAAAGAATCGTTTCGAAGAAGATAAAGAGCGGACATTTTGACGATTTACCAGAACATTTTTAGGGATGTTTAGTTTTTAAATTTTTTCAATGGACTTTTGTGAGAGATAATTTTATTTGATACGCATTTCGTAGTTCAAACTTTGCTCTTTCAAACAAAAAGAAAGTGACGTCTCCAGAATAGTAGGAGCATAGAGAAACAGCGGTCGACATTTGTTGCAAAACTTATGCATAACCCATTATGTCAACTATCGTCATCATTTGTTGGTCTATGATTTTCGACTAAATTAATCAACACATTTGAAGCAGTATTATCGTAATATCAAAAAGTACACAACTTTTTGTTAGATCCACCGGTCGCCGATGGAGCTTTTTTAAGGATGCCTAAAGGTTTAAATTTAAATGTTTGTGTATTAACAGTGACTCATAGACTAGTGTCATTATTTTTCCATATTTTCCTGTCTCGTATTTTTCACCATCAAAGGTTCCATTGATACATGGTGTATGTCGTTTATTAGTTAATAAAATAATTGCCATTGAATACTTTGGATCAATAACGGAGCATGTCCCTGTCCACCCTGTATGACCGTAAGCCTCATCGGAGGCATGCAGACCGAACCATGGTAGAGATTTGTTAAAATTTAGCCGCCATCCCAATCCGTAGGATGGATCATGTGCATATGGGATTAGAAATCGATCTTGCACATTTTTCTTCCAGAACTGAATATTTCCATATGTGCCATTGTTTAACATGATTTGACATAGAATTGCCATTTCATATAAATTTGAAAATAAACCAGCATGTCCTGATAAACCATTCATTGAGTAAAATGATTTTTCATCATGGACTTGGCCTTGTAATACATATTTACGCACATTGGGAAACATAATTGTACCATTACGTGTATTACCATTCAATTCAGTTGCCGCAAAATCGGCTTTTTTATAATTTGTATTATTTAGAGGATTGAACAATGTATGTGTTAAGCCGAGTGGTTGATAAATATTGATATTTGCATATTGATCAATTGGCATTCCACTTACACGTTCCACAATTAGACCCAATAGCATATAATCAATATCAGAATAAACTGGTAATTGATCACCACCTCTTGATCGTTGAAATCTTAATTTTGTCTCAATAATTTGCTCTGTTCTGTTCTTATCTTGAGAGTATAAATCTGGTGAAACTAATTTCGGATCGTAAAACTCAACACTTGGAGCATATCCAGCTGTATGTGTCAATAAATCTTTTATTAATCTTGTTTCACGACATTCGTTCTCAGGATTACATCCAGAATATTCCGGTATATACTTTGTAACTTGATCATCGACGTTGAGTTTTCCCTGCTCTACCAGGAGCATAAGAGCATAATTAGTTGCATACATTTTAGTTAATGATGCCAAATCAAACATTGAATCTAATGTTAACAATTGTGGTTGTTCTATCAATGTCCCGTTTTCATTATATTTTAATTTGTAACCATAAACGGTTTGTTTCAATATTTTACCATATCGAATTACGATCAGAGCAGCGCCGGGAAAACCTTGTTCAATTTCATAATTAATAAATTCGTCAATGATCTTTTCGTTAAAAACATTAGATTTAGCATTAGTCAATTTAGTTGAAGAAGTCATTTGACTATTATTCATTCTACTAACTAATAAATAAATATTTATGAGCAATTGACACAGAAAATAAAACATTTCTATATAAGTAATGATGCACCTATTTATCTATTTGTTTAAGGAAGCAGTTAAGGCGAATAAATTATACTTCACACCAGAAAAAGTAAGAGGCATATGGATGAAATTCATGTGCGTGTTTCTTATCGTTTTTGTTCGTTCTTTTTAAACCTATAGTAAATAGTCACAGATAACATTTACTTTTGTTTTACGGTCATCAACGAAACAGAGGCATGAATTTCATTAATGCATATTTTTTAAAAAAGGTACACTAGACGCAGATGGGTTCCTAAATAAACCTGGTGGATAGAGCTCACACCCACGCAGTTTTTGACCAATTAGTTGTGTCTGCTTTAGGTCCTCAAACACAGTCAGTGATTAAATCTAAACAAGCTGATCCCCACCACGTTCTTCTAGTATCATATATTAGTGGCTGCTAAAAGTAGTGTAACTAGTTTCATCTAGCTATTCATTGGCCGACGAATAGGGCGATAGGACACCCACTGCATCTAATTTTGGAGCGGAGAGGAAAACCAAACAGTGCTCGAACAGCGGTTCGATGTCAGTAGCTTTAAATTGCAAGTCTAATATCTTATACCTACACTATGAAAAGAAAAGTCTTTTTGATGAGATTTAGGGCACATGAAAGTGCGCTAAGTGCGCCACAGTCAGCGTGATAACAAAAGGCAGGGCACTTCCATGTGTCTTAACATCACCAAATGGAATTCTTATTTTCGCGGTGTACTGCATCACATGCGCTTACTTAAATATGTATGTGATTTCGTTTACTTTCTTCTCAGAAGGAAAAACCTAGCTGCTTCTAGTTAAAAGCACTCTCCCACCAGATGCATCGTACTATTCAATACTACGCAGTTTCTCACGAAAATAGAATTTGGTTGTAGTTGGTCTAGGTCCTCAAACACAGTCAGTGATTAAATCTGAATTAAGCTGGCTTTTCCCATGAATTACTTCAATGTTACCTGAAGTTGTCGATGAAGATTTTGGCAAAAATGGAAATAACAACCAGATTAATAAAACTACTGTCATATACATTAATACATGCCTTTCGAAATCAGGTAGAATAGAACCAGGAAACCAGCATGGAACAAATTCTACTATTTCATTTATAAGACGTTGATATGTATCACTATTTTTACGACTGAGAAATGAATAGACAACTGGTACAACATATAATTGATAAAAAATCTCAGAACAACCTAAACATAGGAATATTTATTTACTTTTACCTCACTCAACTGAAATTTCTGACGAAATCCAAGAAATATCTACTTCTACACATACTTTAAATGTACCATCAACTGGAAAATCATCACATGATTGTAAAATA